CTTGAAGACAATGATTAGCTGGTTCAGGTGTGTTTGATTAGAGTTGGAGCTAAACTCTGAAGGAAAGTGACCTGGAAGGGCCAAGTTTGCCCTCCCCTGTGCTAGACGGATATGTATGACCATTGAGCTCGTGTCTCGCTTCTTTTGCAGTGTCTCAGCGTTAAGCGTTAAAAGAAGAAAAGTTCAAAAAATTTCAACTTTTACACATATCGCCGCTTATCAATCTACAACATTTTTTGATGCAAAGACACGTTCTTTGTGAACGGACCCTAAAAGTATTAAATCCTTTCAAAAAAAATATGTACTCACCCCAAACTTGTTGTACATATTTATTTATTTTTTTGTTATCAAAAGGATCATAATAAAGTAATGTTTTTCTCCTCAGTGACTACGCAGGGGTGTGTGCTGCACATAAAGCAATGAAGAATGTGGCAAGTCTGATAAACGAGAGAAAAAGGCGACTCGAGAGCATCGACACCATCGCTCACTGGCAGGTGGCCATCCTCCATTGGGCGGTCAGTGATATTTACACTGTTCTTAGCATTAAATATTTTTTCTGAATTATTCAGGTAGCAGCCACAGCCTCTCTGCATTTTATTTCAGTTCTAAAGTGTCTTTTCCAATTGAGTTTAGTTTTTATTCTGTAGTTGTAGTTTTAGTTTATTTTCTAGTTTCAATTTATTTAGTTTTTATTGTAGGTTTTTAGTTTAGATTTACAAGATTTATTTAAAAATATTTATCTATAGACATTTTCATGTTTAATACAGGTGAGATAAACCATATTTCAAAAACTAAAAATTAATGTTTGGACATTTTAATTTTAGTTTAGTAGGTTTTGGACTTAGTTTTTTTTTTTTTTTGTTAACAATAATGACACCGGGTCAAAATCTCTTTGGTGATATTTTCCTTTTTTTTATTGTATTTTTATTTTAATTTGTCTTCTCAATTTAGTTTCCCTTTCATGGGAACTTCGAACTGCGTCCTCTAGGTGTCGCTATGGGGGAACGCCTCGTCGTGACCCGTGTCTGAAGCATACATTGAAAAAACACCAACTCGTTGGCCGGCAACAGCCATGACGTCACTACCGGTGCGACTATAGTATCGGTAGTGACGTCATGGCTGTCGCCGGCCAACGAGTTGGTGTTTTTTCAATGTATGCTTCAGACACGGGTCACGATGAGGCGTTCCCCCATAGCGACCCCTAGAGGACGCAGTGTCTCGTTCCCTACTCAGGGACCCATGGTTACATAAGTAACCTGAGACGTTAGTTATTGTTAGCATTAAACATCATTTCTGAATTATTCAGGTAGCAGCCACAGCCTCTCTGATGTTTTCGTATCAAGAAATTTTATTAATTTGGCAGACATGTGCATGTCTAATGCAATAAGATATTAATCGGATACCATGTTGATCGGTTTAATATCTGCTTATTTGTTAATGTGCTGGGTCATTCACAGGGCTTGATGAGGCTTTGTGTACTACAGAACAATAATTTCAGATTTCAAAGCTTGTTTGAAGATTTAAAAATGGAAAAATATTTCCTATAGGGTGATGATGTGTTAACACGAAGCTCTGAGCTCATCCACTCCGGCGAGTTAACGCGGCTAGTGCGGCCCGGTAAGATGCAGCAACGCAGCTACTTCCTGTTTGACCACCAGCTGGTGTTCTGTAAGAAAGACGTCCTGCGGAGAGACCTGCTACACTACCGTGGCTGTATGGACGCTGACCTACTCAAGCCAGTCGACCTGCCTAATGGACGGCACGCTGAGCTGGGCCTCCTGAAGAACGCATTTCTCCTACGGCATGCAGAGAACCTGAATGTGCTGTGTGTGTTGTGCTGCAAAAAGAGCCAGGACAAGCAGCGATGGCTGCAAGCATTTGCTCGAGAGCGCAGACGGGTACAGGAAGACCAAGAGATGGGTGAGTCTCACAGTTGAAGGAATATGTGTTCCGTTTTGGTATGAAATGGTAATGCCATGAATTCAAAGAATGACGTTCATTATTTTCATTGCTTTTCAGGGATAGAGATTACTGAGGCCCAAAGGAAGCAAGCCGTTCACAATGCCAGGAAATCTAAACAAGGAAAAATTAAAAGTATGTATCTTTGTTGTCTTGTGCCATTATTGGAACTGAGGTCAAAGCAGGGTTATAATAGTTCTATTATATATTTCTATTTTTTTTCATGTTTATTTTTCATTTTATTTCAGTTCTAAAGTGTCTTTTCCAATTGAGTTTAGTTTTTATTCTGTAGTTGTAGTTTTAGTTTATTTTCTAATTCCAATTTATTTAGTTGTTATTTTAGGTTTTTATTTTAGATTTAAAAGATTTATTTAAAAATATTTATCTATAGACATTTTCATGTTTAATACAGGTGAGATAAACCATATTTCCAAAACTACAAATTCATGTTTGGACATTTTTATTTTGGTTTTGGACAGTTTTTCATTACGTTTTAATTACATTTTTTTTATTAACAATAACGACACCGGGTCAAAGTCTCTTTGGTGATATTTTCTTTTCTTTTTTTTGATTGTATTTTTATTTTAATTTGTCTTCTCAATTTAGTTTAGTTATTGTTAGTTTTTCGTTTTAGTTTTTTTTTTTTTTAAGTTTTCTTTGTATTTTATTTTAGTTTAAATATTTAGGGTTTCCAAAGATAATGAGCTAACTGGTATAATTAAAAAATGTTTAATGTTAATTATTGATGTTAAATTAAGATTAGAAAGCGTAAAGCATTAAGTATAATTGATTTCTAAAGGCGTTTTCATCTTTAATACAGGCAGGTCATAAAGGTTTTAGGTTTTATAATGTACCATATATCAAAAACTAAATTTGTGGACATTTTTTATCTTATTTCAGTTGGTTGTCACAAAAATGTATTTTCTTTTAGTTTTCGTTCATTCAGTGACAATCTTGTCCATGGCCCCAGGCATATGGGCTTACATTTCTGCCACAATTCTGCGCGCGAAAGATCATATTTTGAGCGCACAAAAGTGCATTTTGCACGTGCGCGATCTGAGTTTTGTGGAGAAAATGTTCGTTTCGCAAAGAAAAAAGTCTTTCAAGCGCACGGAAATCAATTTTGCATTTAAAATACGTTTTTGGATGTGTGCAGACCTTCTCTTTTGCGCGTGCAACGTTTCACTAGCTTGCTCACCTGATGCCCCCCTCAGTGCTCGCTAAATACCAACAGCTCGCGTGCTCAACACAACCCAGCGTTACAATATGCCATAATTCCAGCCAATCAGAGACCGAGGCTGCTAAATTCTGATTGGCTGCCTTGACAACCAATCACAACATTTCTTGCATTACCTCGACAGCAGAAGAGGAAAAATACAGTGCATGCATAATTATTATGCAAGTTGATATTCTGATCATATTTTTTTCCAAGCACATTTTCCATGGAATTATTATTGTAACGCTGGGTTGTGTTGAGCACGCAAGCTGTTGGTATTTAGCGAGCACTGAGGGGTCATCAGGTGAGCAAGCTAGTGAAACGTTGCACGCGCAAAAGAGAAGGTCTGCACACATCCAAAAACGTATTTTAAATGCAAAATTGATTTCCGTGCGCTCGAAAGACTTTTTTCTTTGCGAAATGAACATTTTCTCCACAAAACTCAGATCGCGCGCGTGCAAAATGCACTTTTGTGCGCTCAAAATATGATCTTTCGCGCACAGAATTGTGGCAGAAATGTAAGCCCATACTGGCAGCTATTTTCTATCTAGGCAATATGTATACATGGGAAATTATTTCCAAAAACTGTTGGCTAAGATTTCATTTTAATACAATGATGAAGTCATACTCTCATTTTATGTCTGTGCGCCTCCAGAAATGAATTATTCTGATCATCCTGTGCCTCCTCACCATCAGCCGCTACATCCTCTCCATCAGCGACATGTGACAGTGCCAACCAGCATCCCCCAGCAGCAGGTCTTCTCTTTAGCAGAGCCAAAGAAGAAGCCATCTCACCTGTTGTACTCGCTTGCACGCAGTGCCCTCTTCAGGAAATGACAAAAAGAGACACTTCAGACACATTTAGTGTTTACATTGCGCTGATGAGATCCATAAATAATGAAATATTACTGGACTACACATCTGTTATGTCATACTCGAATGCATACACATTAATGTGTATATTTATATACATATAAGTATGTGTGTACAAATGACATATGTGCCTCAGTATAAAGGCTCATTATTGAGCCTTAAGTCAGTGTGCTAGTGTGGAAAGTGTTAGTTATTTTATAGTCATGTCATTTTACTGATATGGTCAAAAAGCTGCTTCCCATTGGGTTTCCATCCGTCACCTTACCTAAATGTGTGTCTTTTATGACAAAGACTTGTGTTCTGCTTTTTAACTAAATGTCTATATAATTTTATTGCTTTACCTGAGGCTGGAGCCTTGTAAAATATAAAGACAGCACACACTAACATTTATGAATCTGTAAATAAACTTGAACCAAATTGCAGTGTTTTTTTTTTTAAATTTCAGTTGTCTCTGTGGTATAAAGAGGCTGAATGCATCTATAGGATAAGTGAACACAAGACTCACTGTTTGCACACCTGCCTGGATACTGTTACACTGTTAGGTGGAAACGAAGCGCCTCGTGTCTTTGCCTTCATTACGCTGTTCGCGTTCACGTCGAGAGTGCAGAAAGGTATTTTGGGGGAAACAGTTTTAACAATGCCGGATTGGATCCGAGCATTTGAGATTACCGGTCCAAATGATTGACTGTATGCCATGGAGACAGCGCGAGAAGAAGGCGGGCAGGGGAGCGAGGATGATGCGGCCCGAGAGGACGCCACAAGTGTGAGTAATCCATGCTGCTAGACCCATAGATTATATGTATACATATCTATGGCTAGACCCCTTAAATATCACTATGAAATATTAGTTGTTGTTACTGAGAAATCAAAATATAAAATATTGTGGGATGTCCTTCAAATAAAGAAGTGTATATTCTATCTTGTTTTTTGATCGTACGTTGATTTTTTTAAGTTATATTTTTATTGTAATAACAGTAACTGTAACTACGCTATTTTGTCGTAAACTGCAGTCACTATGGCCGTTTCTGTGAGGGGTAAAACATTTTGACCTCTGTTGAGATTATGAATTTAGAGGCGGCAATGAAGTTACAGGCTTGACCTTTGTTTGACATTTGTCAGATAATAGACTTGAAAAACTTAATTTGATGCTTAACGATTTGGATAGAGTACATAATTGCATAAAGTTTGGTTTATCTACCTATCAATATCATCTCATATCATTACTATCTTTTTAAAATAATTTTTTTTTGCAGAATTGCAGTGTGAAATGTGAATATGTTCTTACCATAACTAGTAGGCGAAAAATAGGGACCGTCTGCAAAGTGGGTTCTAAGATTAAAATGTCCAATGTCTCTGTCATCGAAAGTGTACACAAATAATTTACACAAAGGAAATTGGAGTGTGCACCAAAATGCGTGAAACGTAAATGTCTGTGTGTATGTGTGTACATCTATACTTTGCTCTTCTTTAATTAGTTGTGACAGAGCCATTACACGTTTTTCTACCTTTAACGTTTATACTTCGTAGACGGTCCCTATGTTCCTACACATTTTTGTGTTTCGACCACTGATCTACAGTAGTCAACATTTGAAGTGGATCAAAACCTTTCATCAAAGTTGTCCTAAAACCTAAAACCAAAATGCATTCTTGTCTTAGGACAACTTTGATGAACTTTGATCCACTTCAAATGTTGACTACTGTATAATATAGGCTATATAGATCAGTGGTTTCGACTACATTTTTTAAGTTTTGGGCGGTTTTTTGTGAGCTTTTGGGCTGGAAATTGTCCATCCAATCTGGCAACACTGGGTGATGGTCGTAAAACACAACAAGTGAACAGACCAGTGCAAACTGTAGTCTTGTCCTTTGGTTTCACTCTAACTTACTCAGAAATGTTTGTTTAGGTCTAGTAACATTTACTTAAAAAGTGATATCCAGTAAATCAATCGGTAATACCACAGTACTTTGGTATTTCAGGTTTATTAGCGTATTGCAAAGAATACCATGTGGTGCTACCATGATAGTAAAAAAAAATAAATACAGTACCATACTCTTTTGTAAGTTATGGTGAACTTTAAATTTGAGTATGGGATAACTTGATTGTATTTTAAAACAATGTTCATGTTGACACCAGTGGATGACCCCATGTCTAGGGTGGTTATGGGCCTGACCGTGTCCATGTAATGACAATAGTGTAGACATAAAATATATGTTCATATTAGGACTGTGTATCACCAGCAAAGTCACGATACGATACGTATCACAATACAGAGGCCACGATACATGATACATGACTGCACTGAATTTCACCTCAGCAGAATTTAGAAAAACAGCTGTTTATTAAACACTGCTTACTATAGTGCCATTTCTAACTATTGGCAGAGCAGGCAGCTGACCTCTGCATTATGAAGGGCCTCCATAACTGTACCACAGTACAATATAGGTAATGGCATTTGTTTCATGTTTACATTGTGCACTCCCCACCAGGTACAATATTCTGATTGTTTGCATCTTGTTTTTAAGCCCATAAATAATAATGTACTTGTTCTAATAAATTTATATTGTAATGTACTCATTCTAATATATTTAAAAAATCATTTACATTGCTGGTAGGTTATCATTGCACAAATTAACACACTCTCTACAATTAAAAAAAAAAAAATAGAAGAGTTCTAAACTAACG